ATAAATCTCTGTGTTTAAGCCAATTTACTCTAAATTGTTTGTGTTTTAAGACAAGAGATTTCCAGTTTGCAATAACACATCATTAGAAACTTCCTTTAATATTCATGTCTACAGGGGCTCTGCTGTGTTCTGGATAGAGTTCAAAAGCATAACATAATGGCTCCCTGGAAACCGCCAACCTGTACAAGGAAGCAAAATTGAAATGAACTCTATGAACAGTTACATGTGAATGTGTCCTCTCTATAGCCAAGATTTTAGTCCTGTTGTGGGACTCATGCCACTTGGAACTAGAATTACAGACTTGGGGAATTTAATTTTCAGCTAAGGCAACATGTACATAGGCCAAGATTAAAAGGTTCCCATTTACCAATGTTCAGGGTGGAGAGGAAAGTGGAAAAGAGTGCAAAACTTTGACTTGTGTTTGCTTAGTAAGGGATCTAACTTCAGAGAGCTTGGTGATGAAAGAAAGGCAAACCAGGGAGGTTCAGGAGTCAGATGGTTCCCTCCATTTGTGTGCTTCAGCTCTCAGGTGCAGCAAAACTTTCACGAGGCCCTGCAAGCCCGAATTTAAGTCACACATTGTGTGTAGATGAACAAAATCTATATCCACATCCATTTGTATGTAGACACTGACTCTAACAAATATCAACTGTATATATATTGTTATCAAATTCATAGAAGAACTAAGGTTTTATTGAAACACACACATGTTCATGAAATTGCACATCCAAGTTTTTATATGAAAGAGAGCAAGTCTTCTTATTCATACTGAGAATACAAAGGGAAAATTTCCCAGGATTAGCACATTAGGAATCGAAACACAAGAAATAAGCAAGCAAAAAATTAAATATATTGCTAATAACCAAAAAGCTAGAAAACAAATTAGTGTTTCTAAGTAAAATACTTTATTAATCCAGAGAGAATGTCAAACAATGTGTCTTAATAATATTCACCTCTCAGTTCTTCCCTGTAACCTTAAAAAAAAAAATTCCTCCCTTTCCCCATTTCCAGTCCTCTACTTAGTAGACGCTGTCTCACAGCAGATGCCCTCTGGCTTTCACAGCTTACACTATGACACAGAAAGGCTAGGTATGTTGACCGTTTAACTCTAGCAGTTTTATTTGTATATTATAAAGCATGAAATTCACCTCAATCATCCTATTGGTCCATGTCTGTAATTCAAGCTTCTAGGGAGTCTAAGGGAAGAGAATGGCAATGCCAAAGCCTGTCAACTCTAAATTATGAGACACTGTTGCAAAAAAGTTGTTTTAATAAAAAAATAACTGAAGATACATCTTAGTAGTAGAGAACTTACTTAGTGTGAATAAGACCCCAGAATCAATATCCAGTATCAAAAATAATTAATACAACAAAATTTAATTTCAGATAACTTGCAGTTGGGCTATGAAAACTCAGGATAGACAACTCTCTTATACAGAAAACCCTGATATATTTTTTTAGTGACAGAAGTACTGTCCAGACCAGATGACTGATTATTTTAATGAAAGATATACAATAAACCAGAATGTAGGAAGTTGTATTGCTTCTAGCATCACAAATATTAGGGTAGGGAAGAAAGCCTTGGTTTGGTTACACAGAATGATGGCATCCTAAAATGCTGATGGATGTTTGGTTTAGGAAATTAATAGTAGGGACAAACAATATCATATGCGGAGGTGAAATGGTAAGCAGGTTTACTGATGAAGGAGTGAAAAATGTGAGTGAAAAGGATGACAGACAGCATGTCACCAGGAGAAACTTATCGGAATTTAGAAGCTGGCTGTGATTTTGCTAGGCAGTTACAAGTTTAACTGCTTTGCTGCAGTCTTAAAGTAGACAGAAGAGTCAATCTACCAGAAGAATTAAGACTTACAGATAAAAAAGACACTGTGCAATCTGCTTGAGTAGGAGCTTGTGCAACAAGTAAAGCATGTATCCATATGGGGCTGAGAAGTAGTTACAAGGCAAGGCAGGGTAAGTAGATGAAGAAATACAGAACCAGAGAAAAATTACATGGTTGAGGCTCAGGCATCCAGTTGCAGGAAATGTGAAATGTGGCTTACATTCTACTTCCTCCCCAACTCACCAAAATTATCATCTAAAACTTCTATCAAAACATTTATGGAACTAGAAATAACCATTCTGAGCGAGGTAATCCAGTCACAAAAACGACAAACATGGTATGTACTCACTCATATATGGATTTTACACATAGAGCAAAGGATTACCAGCCCACAATCCACACCACCAGAGAAGCTAGAGAACAAGAGGACTCTAAGAGAGACATACATGGTTCCCCTAAAGAAGGGAAAAGGGACAAGATCTCCTGAGCAAATTGGGAGAATGAGGGGAAAGAAGAGGGAGCTAGAAGAATGAGAAGGGAAGAAAAGGAAGGGTGAGGAGGACATAAGGGAGCAGGAAGTTTGAGTTGGGTGAAGAATAGAAGAGATCAAGGTAACAGATACCATAATACAGGGAGCCATAATAGGTTTAAAGAGAAATCAGGCACTAGGGAAATGTCTGGAGATCTACAGTGATGACACCAACTAACAATCTAAACAAGAGAGGAGAAGTTACCTTAAATGCCCTCCCCTGATAATGAGATTGATGACTAACTTATATGCCATCCTATAGCCTTCGCCCAGCACTTGGTGGACGTGGAAGCAGACACCCACAGGTAAACACTGAACTGAACTGTAATCCAGTTGCAGAGAAGGAGGAATGATGAACAAAGGGGTCCAGACCAGGCTAGTTAAACCCACAGAAACAGCTGACCTGAACAAGGGAGAACTCTTGGTTCCCAGACTCATAGCTGGGAAACCATCATGGGACTGATTCAGAAGCCATGAACATGGGTGTCAGTGAGGAGACCTCGGAAATCTATGGGGCCTTTTGTAGATCAGTACTTATCTCTAGAATAGGAATAGACTTTCGGAGCCCATTCCACATAGAGGATACTCCTTGAGCCTAGACTCAAGGGGGGTGGGCCTAGGCCCTATCCCAAAGAATATGGCAGATTCCTAAGACCCCCTACGGAAGGCCTCACCCTCCCTGGGGAGCAGAAAGGATATGAGAGAGGTAGGGTGTTAGTTGGGGGAGAGTGCAAGGGAGGAAGGGAGGCAGAGGGAACTGGGATTGACATGTAAAACAATCTTGTTTCTAACTTAAATAAAAAATGGAAAAAAAACATTTTTCATGATTGTTTTCATCAAATATAAAGGAAAAGATTAGAATTTGTTTTGGGTTTCTGTAAATATAACAAAATTATGTTTTAAAAAGGAGATGTCTAGTTTTGATACCAGGTTTGCACATTTTGGCAAATTGGTTGGTTGGCCCATCCCTTTGAGCCTGTACTGTGGCAGAGCATCATGGTGGTAGATGCTTAGTGGAAAAAAAACATTAATC